CCTTCCTTCATTAAGTTTGCTTCTATTTGGGTATGTCTTAAATATTTATAACATTTACTTAGTGAAGGGGGATACATGTGGAGTTTGGTGGACGACTTGCTAGAATCAGTTCTCTCCCTCCACCCTATGGGTTCTGGGAATTGAACTTGGGTCGCCAGGCTTGTCAGCAAGTACCATTTCCCAGTACACCATCTTGCTGGCCCTTCTTGGGGTATTTTGTCACAGCAAGGAGACAAGTAACTAATATGGTGCAGCACTTCTCAGTAGTCAAGTTCACAATCAACGCTGCTACATATAGTGAAGGATCAAAATGATATAGTTAAATTCGTTACCTTTCTCTTCACTGTGGCTCAAATCCTGACAGAAGCCACTTAAAGGTTTGTTTTCAGTTCTGTCTCTGGGAGTTCATATGGCTGTTTCTCTGCTGTGCTTTGGCAAAATATAATAACTGTGGCAGCGTTACATGGTGGAGACTATTCACTTTATGGTAGACAAGGAGCAGTGGTGAAGACAGCAGGAGTTCAGGACAAGACAGCCCAAGGACACCCCACCCTCAGAGACCAATTTCCCCAAGCTAGGTCCCACCTCCTGAAATGTCCAGAACCTCAGAAAATCGGGCCACCTGCTAGGTCAGCCTCTCAATTATTTTATTATCTTCCTCAAAACTTCCTTTGGGAAAGATACTTCCTATGTGGCCCCTAATAATATGAGTAAGCACCATACTTTTTAGTTTCCACAGTGAGTAATAAATTCATACCTAGTCATCATGTCCTAAAACTGAATTCCTAACTGTAGGGCACACGAGCCAGTCAAAGATGGCGTTGGGGGGGGGGGTCAAGAGGGCGATTCCTGAGTTGTTTACAAAAAAAGATGATTGGCTGCCTAGATGGAACCAGATGAGGTCTCTGCATGAACAACTTGTGTTCACTAGGTAAAGCCTAGGGCACCTAGGTGAGTGATGGGCTGACCTTTAAAACCATTGAGTGGCTGTTTCCCCTGCACTGCAGGTTTTTGCTTTAAAAGATGCTTGCTGTGTGGTAATAAATGAGTTCTTGCTTGACTAGACTCCCTGCTGCGTCTGATTGTCTCCGGAATTCTAGAAGTCTAGGGAACGCAAGCAGCACACTTACCCTTCGACCCAGCTCAGCCTTCCATGGTTGGGCTAAAACCCTGCACCTAGCTCGCCTAATATAAGTATCAGAAGTGAGTAAGACATTAAAGGAACCAAGATGCCACTTGGGTATAAGACTCACAAGTTGGTACTTTTAACTTTAGTTCAAAAACCTTGACAGCAAAACCAAACTATCTTCCCGTGTCAGGATCCCAGAATTTGCTCATATGGAGCAGTCATTAACTCATCTGAAGAAAAACACTTGCTACAGTGTTCTTGTGGGTGTAAGAGGACGAGTTTGTTGAGTTGGTTCTCTCCTTCTACCTTTTCATGGGTCCCAGGGATCAAACTTGGGTCAGTATGTTTTCATGGCAAGTATCGTTACCTGCTGACCCATCTTACTACCCCCACAACTTCTAAGATAAAGTACTATATTTAATGTTTAGTAACAGCCTCCTAATACACCTATCATTTCATCTGAGTCATTTGTTATCTTGTCCTGAACCGAATTTCCATCATAAATCTAGACAAATGTGATATTTCTTAGTGTGAGTATATAAGCATACATCTCAATGGGCAGTTAGCATGCAGGAGAGACTGGCATCATTAATGCGCTTGGAGACAAGTTAGCAGTGTTTGCTGAAAGATATGACCCAAGTTCGTTCTTAACAATTGCCATACACTGACTTGTGTGACCTGAATCAGAAATGAGCAATATTTCGCAAATCAGCAAAATGAAAGTCATTGTCATGTGAACTGTTTCGTATAGGACGTTCTGCCTTTTGGGCCAGCTGCGTTCCAGAGGCTTGGAGTCATTGACTCTTTCTCTTTAGAAGGTTCTGCCTCCCCTTTCACCTTCTTGGATGTCACAGCCACAGAGTGCAGGATTAATCCATCAGGGAAAAGACACCAAATCCTCTGAAGCCAGTGCTGAGGGGCAGGTGATTTTCCTTTTCATCTCATGGGTTTGATGGGTATCAGTGCATTAGACACAAAAGCAGTGAAATGCCCAACCACCCTGTTGCACATAGGGCCACCTTTCTTAAGACCCCCTAAAATCTATACACTAAGCCAGGTCAAAGTTCTTAAAGTATATGTGTTTAGAACGTGATCTTTTGATTACTACTCCCCTTCTAATGGAAAAATGGTGGAAAATGTTCCTAAAACATGGGATTAGGTGTGACTTGACTTGACGAACTTTATTCATATGGGTCCTAGGCAAAGCTTTATACCTAATTTATATTCACAGACGTCTTTGGAGCAGGGTTCTCTGAACTGCTCTGTGATACACTTTCCTGTTCTCATCCTGACCTCAGAACAGAGGTGTGGTGTGAGGTGTGGCATGGAGGTAGATATATATATATATGATTTGAACAATTGCTTGAGGAATCTCATGGACCAGTATCCTTGTAAATGTATTTTTGGAAGGGCAAAAGTTCACATTGTAGAGAAAAAGCCCTGTGTGGAGGCCAGAAGCAGACTGAAGTCACAGCCCTGCCTGCCACTTACTGATCTGAGAGATTTCTTAGACTCCTCTGAGCCCTAGTCTCCTCCTATCTATATCCTGCCCAGCAGTTGTTGCACCTGGTTTCCTGGTGGGTGCCTGTCTACACCAAGGACAAGGCTTCTGTGGCAGTTTGAAAATATTTGGTCCCCATAAGCTCATAGGAGGTAGCACTATTAGGAGGCGCGACCTTGTTGGAGGAAGTGTGGTCTTGTTGGAGGAGGTTGGATTATACAAGGCTTTAATCCAAACCTTGGGGCTGGAGGGCACCCTTTAATCTGGGCCACACCTTCTGCAGATGTTTCATTCAGCCTGCAGTCAGACAACTTCCTGTTGCCTGCCAGATGTAGGACAATCAGCTATTCTCTAGAACCATGCCTACCTGCGTGCTGCCATGCTTTCCACCATGATGGACTGAACCTCTGACCAGTCACCAAGCCATCACAATTAAATGTGGCTACATGGTGTCTTCCTGATGGCTCCTTTCTACCTTCCTCTTCCCAGAATTCTCCTAGTCTGGTAGCCCCACCTATACTTCCTGCCTCAGTCATAGCTGTCTTCAGACACGGTTTGACATGCTGGATATTTCTGGAACATACACTGCTCCTATGTTTCAAAGAATCCTCCATCCTGGTTTCTTCTTTCAAAGCCCATCTGAAAAATGGAAAGCAGACAGACTTAGACTCTTAAGTAGCTTTCAGGCTGACAACCTGCTGGGTGAGTGAGACTTGAGTCACCATCTGAATACTGGAGAATGGGGTGACTAATTTTCCAGTGGTGGAGAGAGAAGGGTAGGCCTGAGAGAGAGGAGCTGTCTTCACCCTACTTTTCAGCCAAGATCAGGAATCTTTGTCAATCTGCATGTGTAATTTTACCTGTTTTTTTCTGAGCATTTGTTTTGTTTTTAAAAATGAAGACCTAGTCACTGTGCTTAAGATGCAGAATGGTGGATTCCTTGGCAGTGACTGTGAGAAGGGCTGATCACATACTCTTTCCACCTGTCCAGATTCCATCCCTGCTGCTTACACATTTTCTTTGGGAACCTGTCCACTGAGCCTGCTTCCCACCAGCCCCTCCAGGCTGCCTGTCCAACTGTAGATAACTGGGTTATCTCTGGCCATATCCCAGGAGATGTCAATAATGGATGAGTCAACACTTAGGAAGACAGAGCATCTTATTAGAGTGAAATGTTAATTAGGACAGGAATCCTTGGAATGCAGGAGCAAGCAGAGGGTTTGGACAGTAGGGAGTGTGTAAGCATTATATTAAGGAATTACTCTGTGAGCAAAATATAGAATTAGAGGCTTCAATCTGAAGAGGTAATAATAGCTGTTGGTTTTACAAAGCCCGGAAGTTTTACAGTTTCTTTTTGTTGTGTTTTCACATTTGAATTGTGATAAAATACACATAACATAGAATTTACCATGTTACCCAGTTTCAAGTATATGGTTCAGTGGCATCAGATACCTTCACATTGCTGTGAACCACCAGCCACATCTAGAACTATTTTTGTCTTGTACAACTGAAACTCATGACCATTGGATTATTAGCTTGGTTTTTATCTCTTCTTTGGATTCCTGGAATCCATTATCCTACTTTCTGTCACTATGAATATGACTGTTTTGTGTGGTTATACTAATACACGATCCTTTTGTGACTGCTTTAGTTCATTTAACTTTGCAGTGGTTTGAATAAAAATGGGTCCCAGAGGCCCAAAGAGAATGGCACTTTAGGAGGTGTGGCCTTATTGGAGTAGGTGTGGCCTTGTTGGAAGAAGTATGTCACTGGGGGTGGCCTTTGAGTTCTCAGATGCTCAAGCCAGGCCAGTGTTTCACATTCTCTTCTTGCTGTCCACTGATCTGAATAAAGAACTCTCAGCTACTTCTCCAGCACCATGTCTGCCTGCACGCTAACATGCTTCCAGCCATGACAATAATGGACTGAACCTCTGAGCTGTAAGCCAGCCCCAGTTAATGTTTTCCTTTATAGGAGTTACATGATCATACAAACACTAAGACAAACTTCTTGTCTTTTAGATTCATCCATATTGTAGCAGCAAATCCTTACATTTTAAGGATGCACTACATTCCATCTGGTTCAAAGCACACTTTCTATATCTGTTCCTCTGTCAAAAGACTCTCAGGTGGCCTCTTAGATATTATAATATAAGTGTATGACCTGATACAAACTCACATGTGAACCGGGCATTGGTGGCGCATGCCTTTAATCCCAGCACTCGGGAGGCAGAGGGAGGCAGATCTCTGTGAGTTTGAGACCAGCCTGGTCTACTGAGCGAGTTTCAGGACAGTCTCCAAGACAATACAGAGAAACCCTGTCTCGAAAAAACAAACAAACAAAGAAAAACCTCAAATGTGATGGCTCTTCTTGGGTGCCAACTAGACTCTATTTGGAATTAAACACAAAAATGGGGCATACGAGGGGGGGGTTGCTTAATTTGAACAGACACAGAAAGTGTGGTTTGGACCAGATGGAATGAAATTCATCTTCTATGACTCCGACTCAGAAGGCTGCATTGATTAAATGTGCATTTAACCTGCTGCTCACCTATTTGAAATATATTTCTTCTTTCTCCTTCTTTACCACATCTACTATAGTACCGTAGTTTAGCTTTTGCAATTTCTGAGGTGACTTCATGGCCATCCCTGCTCTAATTTCAGTCATTTCCATTTAGGAAGAAGTCTTTCAGCAAATAATCCCCACCCCACATTCCCACATGAATGCCCCTGAAGTTTGTACGGCTTTGGGTGATCCTAGATGGCTTGAGGCTGGCATGGTTATCTTGTCCCTCTACAATAAAAAGGGTTTCCCATGCAGACGCAGAGGCAAGCGGATTTCTGTGAAATGGAGGCCAGTCTGGTCTACAAAGCTACATAGGGAAACCCTGTCTTGAAAAAACAAAAAACAAAACAAACAAACAAAAAAAGGATTGGCCAATAGACAAATCTGGGGGTGCATTTTCTTGATTAATGATTGATGCGAGAGGGCCCAGTCCACCATGGTAGTGGCACCCCTGGTCAGGTGGTCCTGGGTTGTACAATAAAGCAGGCTGAGCAAGCCATGGATATCAAGCCAATGAACAGCTCCCTCCATGGCCTCTGCTTCCGTTCTTGCCTCCAGGTTCCTCCCTGGCTTCCAGGTTCCTCCTGACCAGGCTTCCCTTGGTGATAGACTGTGACACAGAAACACAAGGCAAGCAAACCTTCCCCTTCTAGGTTATTTCTGGTCATGATCTTTATCGAAGCAATAGAAACGCAACTAGGACACTCCTGTCCGTATAAGAACAAGTGGAGCCAAGTCTAATTTATAACTGTGTCTTTAGATGCCTGACAGCTCCGTAGAAGATCCTCCTTCCATCTGTTTCACAGGCAAGTCACCGGACACAACATGAACATGCCGTCTAAGGGGAAAGAGACACAAGGTTAGTCGTTCTTCCCGCTTGCCCTTGCCCAGCACACAGTCTCTGCTGTGCCTTCCCTCGGCTGTTTCTCCTTGCAGCTCTGAGTTCACTCTTGTGGTCAGCTGTAGACATCTAATCTTTCTTCCTGCCATCCTTTCTCCAGTTACAGCACAGAGATCTTCGACATCGATCCCATAGCCCTCTTCTCCATCTCTTTCCCTGAGTGCCTTTGAGAGAGCAGATAATTGAAACCCATCACTCAGAGTTCTCTATTGACAGTCGTCAGTGAGCATGCCCCCAAATGGCCAGTGGGCAAAGCAAATGGTCAAAACAAAGACAGGGAACTTAGTGCTGGGTCAAATAGAGACATGGGGGGGGGTCTGAGTTCATGTTCACTCTGCAACTTGATTGACATATGAGATAAAATTAAGTGTACTCATACAAAGAGGCAGTCGTTATAAAGCTTAGGACAAAAAAATTTATATGAGACCGTCTTTCTACCCAATCTTCAAAACATCACACATGGTTCTAGTTATGACAACCTCTTCTCCTCTGTACTTCGCCTTCTCATATTTATACATCAGCACATCTAAGCATTTCTACATCAAACAATATACTTTGGAAGAATACTCTGTTATTTTTCCCTTTATCCACACAAGCACAATGGAGTATCAATGGAGTATGTGGCAATCTTTATACTCAGAATCTTGGGGTAGGGGATTCGTAAGTTTGAGGCCAACCTGGGGTACGTAGTGAGACAATGTCATCAAAGACCAAGAACTAGGAGAGTACTTACTTGGCATATGGAAGGCCCTGGGTTTGATCCACCCCTTTCCCAGCAAAAGATGACTTGTTGAATGAATAAATGCATGTGAGATTCATTTGGGAATGTAGCAAATACATAATGGTCCATGGCAGGAATGGGATTTTAATTTATCTGAGAGTTGGAAGAATGCTAATGAAAACTTTCTACAGCGCATTTCCTTTCTCTGGAAATAATCATTAGAACAGCTATTTGCTGCAAATACGAAACGGAAAGGAACATGTTGTTTTGGAGAAAACGTAAAATAATGACTGAACTGGCGATTTGTAGTTTGGAATTGCTCGGTGTTCTGCATTCCAATAAAAGGTAACAACATTTGGTGAGAGTGCCCTCACCAAGTTAAAGAAGGACACTAGGAAACCTGGGGATTGATCTGGACAATGTTGGAGATTCATGTTGTCTTTTATAGCTGTGCATGTGTCTTGATTCCAAATGTGTATGTGGATAACCTGGCCCTGCATGTGGGAAGGGTCCTTTAAGAGCCCCTGCCTGACACTGGCTCCAGTGCATGAATTGAGGCACACCCTGCTAGCAATAGTATCTGTTATTGTCCATGCTGGGTGTGGGGTTGGTGCATGCCCACCACAGTCTGCTCTCAGGGGACCAGAGGCATGCTGGACTGAAGGATTCCAGGAGGTCCAAAAAGCAGGGGTTCCGTAGATACATCCCTTCCATCAGGATACCCAGAACCCAGCCATGAAAATGAACACGAAAGAAATGACGTCCTTGTTCATAAGTCACGTGATCTGGGAATCTTTCAGCCACATCCAATTGGAACTATTGAGTGAAAGAGCCATTATCTTCCCAGGGTTTTTATAGTTACTCTGAGCAGCTCGCAGCTGTCCCAGCCATGTCTCATAGGAAAAATTTACTCTAAAATCTCACGTGTGACAATATATTAGAAGAAACGAGACCAGTAAACAAGCCAGAGGGCACTTATCCCCTCAAAAGAAACAAGAGGACAAGGAAACCACCGTCTCCCTCCTCGGGGCTGATGCTTCTCAAGTTCTGGAGCAAGTTCATGTGCCATGGCTTCCCTTTCCTTCGCCAAGGTGCCCTTCCTAACTGTGGTGCTTATTCCCACTCCCTTCTGCCTGGATCTTCGTACCAAGTGTTCCCAGATTTCCTGTCCCTGCCCCCACCTCCTTCATCCTGGCCTTGTGTTTGCTCATTGGTCACATTGTCATGTGAAGCACGATCCCTCAAGTAATCACTGTCTTGAGTTGTGTGCCAAATACTTGCCATGGGTTTGTCCTAGTTCTTCAAGCCCTGCAGGGGGAGGTGGGGTTTCTTACTCCCTCCATCCTTCTCTGTGTATCTACCAGCATTGCAGGCATTTGACCAGGACTCCGAAAGACACTTTTGTTAAATGTGTGGAGAAAAGGCTAGGGTTCTAGCCAAGTGTCCTTCTTCCTCTGTCCCAGGAAAATTTTCCTCATGCTATGATAACAAATTCTCACATGTTTCCCAGCTTAACAACAGAAATAAATTCTCTTACAATGTTATTAGTAAAAATTCCTCAAGGCACCTCATTCTGCTGACTAAAGATGTGTAGGGCCACCACAGTCCTCTGAAGGTTCTGGGTGAGAATCATTTCTTCCTTCTTCAAAGTGGTGGCTCTCAGCATTTCTTGGCATGGGGCATGTCATCTTCTTTCCTGTGTTAAGTGTACCATCATCATTCTGCCACAAGGATACTTGCAATTTCATTTAGCGCCTTCCTGCAAAATCTCGGAGTTTCCCATCTCAAAATTCATAACCACAGGCTGGGGAGAAGGCTCAGTCAGTAAGGTGCCTGCCCAGCAAGCATGAAGACATGGGTTCAGATCCACACCACACACACATATACACACACATGTGCAGAAATACACATATGCTACCCACAAATTAGTCACATCTGCAAAGACCCTTTTGTTCCTATGTAAGGTAACAGTTACAGGTCTAGGAAGTAGGTCTTAGTATCTTTTGGTGCCATTATTCATTCTACTACAAGGTATAATGTAAAAATAAATATAACAGCGAAGAAAGAAGTGTTAGAAATGAAGAAATTCAGCTCCCAGTGAGGTGTCGATCAATCCTCATGATCCACATGAATAGGTATATGCCCAAGTACTCACAAATCTGTAACAGGAAAGGTATTTCCTGTCACTGGCCTCAGGAGATGGTTTAATGAGTAAAAGACCTGCAGTGAATGCATGTAGACCTGAGTTCAGATCTCCAGCACCCATGTAAAAAGCCAGGCTCAGCAGTGCATATGTGTAATTTGGGCACTGAGGGGCAAAGGGTAAAGGCAGCAGGACCCCTGGAGCTCACTGGCTACCCAGACTAGTTTCAGGTTCAGTGAGAGATCCTGCCTCAAAAAACAAGGTGAAGGGTAATTAAGGAAGATGCTGAATTTCAGTCTCTACCATCCACAGGCACACGCGCACACATATGCACACATACACATTTTCAACTTTTCTACAGATCAAAGTTTTATTCATAAAGAAACACAACAAGCCAGGCATGGTGACACACACCTGTATCCTCAGCCCTCTGGAAGGTGAAGGTGAGGCTCTTAGGAAGGATAGGTTCCCGGTTAGTTTGGCTACATATTGAGATCCTGTCTGAAAAACCAAACAAACAAACAACAACAAAAAAGCAAAGAATTAAAGGCATGTTCAAGGCATCAGGTTGAGACTTGCCAGAATAACAAAAGAGATATTTGAACTTCATGAAGGGAGAGGTTGTTTCTTATTAAAATGTTTTAACGCCTCACTGGATAAAGATAGTTTTTGAGGTGGATACCCATTAGCAATTACATGAACAAGTACCTGGAAAGATAAAACATAGTTGAATTTCCCACCGTTTCCATGCAATTATATAATCTTATTCCACTACTTCCTTCTAAATCACAGGAGGAAGTAGGAAACCGTGTGAATTATAATTATAATACCTGTGCTTTTACAATGATTTGTGGTTTACAAAGCTCATGACGTATCTCATCACTATCAAGTATAGTAGGCAGGGGGGCTTGTTTTCAGATGAATAAAGAGTTTCAGAGAAAGTTAATGACTTAGTGAAGAAAACCTGGCAAAACAAACAAACAAACAGCTGCCAGATTTAACAATGATGGGCAATCCCTGAATCTCTACGCCTTATACTTTAGGTTCAGTGACAGTAAGTGCAAGCTAGTTGTAATGGATTTACTTTTAATTAGGAAATGATTAATTGACATCTGTGAGAAGAGATTCTTCAATCGGCTGTTTGTCCTGCTGGAGCCCTGGCAGTCACGCATGCTCCCAATCTGCCTTGTTTGTCTGGGTTTACCTCTAAGCTGGACCCAGATTTAATTCAAATATGGGGTTATTTGTAACATAGAAATACTGGCAGCAAGATCAACAATCTGGTTTTTATTTTGGTTTTGTAGCTTAGTCTAATGAGTGTATCTTGGAGCCTAATTTTAGGCTAGTCAAACAATATAATTGATCCTAGAATATATTTAAGGTACTGTGTCAGGACTATGGGGAATCTCAGAAAGGTGCCTGCTATCCTACCCACCCCATATATCTGATTTTAGGGTCACGGATGTTCCAAGCATTGGTTGCTGCTGTAAAGACACTCATAAGCCAGTGAGGGATGGGGACACAGGAACACACTAGAAAAGATAAATTTAACATGGCTGTTCTGTGCAAAATAGTTCAGGGTTCAGGAACAAACTCCTGAGAGGAGTCCTTAAGAGGCAACTTTTAAGAATCAATGATGTTAATAAAGGGAATGGAGGACTCACTTAAAAAGGGGGACACAGAGCTGAGACAATGGTATTCCTCAGCTGTGCCTCTTGACACCAGAGCCAAGAATGGCACCTCAACACTGAAATTACATCCTTTCTCTTTCACAGTGTCCACTATAAACTCCCGCGTGAGAACTGTAGTCACAGGAGAAGTTGGCGAAGCTGTATTTTCAGCGGCAGAGACCACGGCAGTGTTCTGGACCGATGAGCTGATCAGATCATGCACTTGAGTGAAAAGCCCCTTTATGGGAAAAGAAGGGAAGTGGGTGTCTGGTTTCAGTGAGCCCCCAAAGCAAAGGGCGGACAACAGTAACAACAACCATCCAAAGGAAAATCAAATCTAAGGGAATACTCAGAAAATCCCTTAGGAGGGAGCAACCATTGCCGAGGTCCAACATGTTCACCCTCCAACCCTGCACCTGGGAGGAGTTGCAGATGTCCTGGATCTTCCTCTGCACTCCTTTCCACTTCCTGTTGAGGAAGAGCCTGAGGTCCAACATGTGCACCCTCCAACCCTGCACCTGGGAGGAGTTGCAGATGTCCTGGATCTTCCTCTGCATGCCTTTCCACTTCCTGTTGAGGAAGAGCCTGACTCCTAGTGGTTGGAGTGTGCAATTGCAGATCTTTGGGATCAGGGCTTCAGGAAACAGAACCACAGTGTGTATGTGTGGCTGCGATCGCGTGCGTACATGCGTGGGTGGGTGCGTGCGTGCGTGCGTGTGTGTGTGTGTGTGTGTGTGTGTGCGTGCGTGCGTGCATGTACTTGATTGAACATACAGCACCCAAAATGAAACACAAGGTCTAGTAGGTGAGCCTATGTAATGCATTAGGGCAGTGATTCTCAACCTTCCTAATGCTGCGACTCTTTAATACAGTTCCTCATATTGTGGTGACCCCCAAACATAAAATTATTCATCACTGTAATTTTGCTACTGTTGTGAATTGTAATGTAAATATCTGATACACAGGATATCTGCTATGTGACCCCTGTGAAAGGGGGTTGTGGCCCAGAGATTGAGAACCACTGGTGATGGTATGTGATTCCATCTATGCTGTGGAGCAACACTGCCCTAGAGAAACAGACAGTGAGCCATATACATATTTCAAATTTTTCAGTAGCACATTTCTCAAAATCAGGAATAATATTTAAAACAAAACAGGAAAACTTAATTTTCAGAGGATGTTTCTTTAAACACAAGAAATCCAAATTTTTCATTTCAATATGTAATCTGCATTAAAAAGAATTAACAATACAAACTTTATATAAATGGGATCTGTTCAAAACCCTACTGAGCATTTTAGCATCCGTTGTGAAAGACTCATGGAAAATGCTCAGGAGATTTGAATCTGGCTGAACCAAAGGATCAACCTGGGCTAAAGCCTGGGAGAGCCTACTTCTGGCCTAGGATCCTGCCTGCATCAACAGGGAACCCACAGGATATTAGAGGTGGAATTTCAAGGCCAGCGATTCTGACTGGCAAGTTAATGAGGGAGTGAGAGGATTCTGCAAGATTGATGATCACGCAGGAACTAGGAGTGTCAAGAGTTTATAATACGCTCTTTGGGAACTACTGGCCTGGGGACTGTGGACAGGTCGACTCACGGACCAAGCAACCCAGAGTCTGCTGACATCGCGATGCTAATCCCGCCCCCACTCGGGGGAGAGGTGAACATGGGCTCCTGTCTCAGGCATGACTTCTGCTTGCCCTAGTCTGGGGACTTTGGGCAGGTTTACTCACCCCAGGTGGATCAAGCCATTCAGAGTCTGCCTCCACCCACTGGGAGAGAGAGTGTCTCAGACCCGACTGCACCAATCATGTGACCCATCAGAATATTGGACCAGCTTGCACCCACCAGAAGAGAACCTTGGACCTGTACCCACCAGGAGAGGAAAAGACCCCATCTGCATCCACTGGAAGAAGGGATGGGAAGACGAACATGTAAGAACACATTCAACAACAGAAAAACCAATATAATGCCACCAGATTCTAGGGACTCTACACCACAGACATGAACATCGCAACACAGATGAAGCAGAAGAGAGCAACCCAAAACCAACTGGAAATCTAACCGATAGTGGAGAGGCTACCTTAAATGCCCTTCCCTGGTAATGTATGCCATCCTAGAGATATACTAGGGGAAATAGATCCAGTGGCTGATGGAAGAAGAGGCAGACACCCACAGCTAAACACTGAACTGAACTCCTGGAAACCAGTTGCAGAGAGGGAGGGGTGATGAGCAAAGGGGTCAAGACTGTGCTGGTGAAACCCACAAAGACAGCTGACCGGACAAGGGGGGGAGCTCATGGACCCCAGACTGATAGCTGAGAGGCCAGCATGACTGACCCAGATCCCCTGAATATGAATGTCAGTGAGGAGGCCTTGGCATTCTTTGGGGCCCTGGCATTCAAATGGACTTTGGGAGCCCATTTCACATGGAGGGATGCCCTCTCAGCCTGGACACATGGGAGAGGGCCTAGGCCCTTCCCTGGGTGATATTACAGACTTTGGATATCCCCCATGAAGGGCCTCACCCTCCCTGGATAGTGGGGGGGTTGGGTGGGAGGTTGCCGGGGTTGGGGGGGGCGGGGAGGGGAGGGAGAGGGAGCTGGGATTGACATATGAATCAAGCTTGTTTCTAATTTAAATTTAAAAAATCAACCCCCCCCCAAAAAACAACTTCATGAAAATGATAAAGACATTGAAAGAGGAAATGAGAAAATTCTTTGAAGAAATGGAAGACAAAAACAAACAAAAAATTTCAAGAAATGGAGGAAAAGACAAACTGAAAATTGGAAGAAACAATTCAAACAGTGCAAGGTTTGAACGCTGAAATAGAGACAAAAAAAATAAAAACAAAAACGAAAAACAGTCTGAGAGAGTGCTGGAAATAGAAAAGCTGGGTAACTGATTAGGAACTACAGATTCGAACATAACCAAGGGAATACATGAGATTGAAGAGAGAATCTTAGTCATTGAAGATATACTAGGGGAAATAGATTAATTGACCAAAGAAAATCTTAAGACCAACAAACCCCTAACAAAAAATCCTTGAAATATGGGAGACTGTGGAAAGGCCAAACATAAGAATAATAGGTATAGAAGGTGAAGAAACCCAACTCAAAGGTGCAGAGAACATATTCAACAAAATCATAAAAGAAAACTTTCCCAACTTAAAGAAAGACGTGCCAATGAAAGTACAAGAAGCTTACAGAACACCAAATAGACAGGGTCCCCCCCCCAAAAAAGTCCCCTCACCGCATAATAATTAAGATCATAAACATATAGAATAAAGAAAGAATATTAAGAGCAGCAAAGGAAAAAGGGCAAGTAACATACAAAGGCAAACCTATCAGAATCACACCTGACTTCTCCATGGAAACTCTGAATGCCAGAAGGTCCTGGATAGATGTTCTACCAACACTAAGAGACCATGGATGCCAGCCCAGACTACTATACCCAGCAAAGCTTTCAATCCCCATAGATTGATATTGAAAACAAGATATTCCATGACAAAACCAGATTTAAACAATTCATATCCACTAAAGTACTGGAAGGAAAACTCCAACCTAAGGAAGTTAACTACACTCAGAAAAGCATAGGCAATAGATAATCCCACTTTATCAAAAGCCAAAAGAAAAAGTGGAGTAAATCCACACACAATACCACCACCAACAACAAATCCAAAACAACCAAGAATTAACACTCAATCTGGCACTAGGGAAATGTCCAGGTATTTACAAGGATGACCCCAACTAACAATCTAAGCAGTAGTGGAGAGGCTACCTTAAATGCCCTTGCCCAATAATGAGATTGCTGACTACCTTATATGCCT